CCTGATTAGAAACGTGGTGAGATTAGGAAGCAGGCTGCAATTTGTAATCTGTGTTTACAAAATCTGGCTTTACTTTCCCAATGTCTTCTAGCTCATTTTTAGGTTTTCCTTTTTCCTTTTTCGTAGCTAAAAGAATGTCCACTTTTAGCTGTAATCAGCAGGCAATTAGTCAAAGGATCATTAGTTCCTCCTGCTTCTCTCATTTAGGAATTACTGTAATTGTACTTTCCAGGTATTTCAACAAGTTTGCAGCCTGCTGGTGGTGGAAAGAACTTGTTTTGGCATAACATTGGGCACTAGGCATGTTGAGTACAGATGACTGCTTTCTCCATGCTCCAGAGTGAAACAACCATCCGCACAAGTTTGAGAAATAAACAGTGAAGTCTGCTGTCACTCAGAATATCCATATTTTTCTTGTCAGAAATTTCAACTGCAAATCAAGTTGTCGTACAAAGAGCAAAAATTAGAATACTCTTTTTTTTATGTGAACATTTCCATTCTAGTTAAAATTAAACTGAAAAAGGTAAAACCCAATTGTACTTCAATTTTAAGGCTACTCAGGGTCATGAGTCTGTCTTGTGCTTTATATGGTAAATGTTGCAGCATTTATAAAATCTATATGTTGAATAATTATAAAATAATGCAAAGCAATAGAGAGAGTCTTATTCCCTTTTTAATTAATTTTATTCTGTTCTGTAGGCTCTTTCTTTAATGGACAGTCCTTTTGCTTTCTTCTGTGCTAATCTTAAGTCTATTTTAAGGCAACAAAGTTTAACAACGCTAAATAAAGTAGCTGGACAGCATATGTTAACAAGTACAGTATTCCCCAGCCCTTCAGAACAGCTCAGCCTCAAATAACACTTACATATTGCCTATGTAGAGATTAAGCCACTCTTCACCCACGTGATTTAATTCCACCTTGCAACTGTCCAAAATATCTGGCAGGTCCTGGGCAGAGGGAGTGCCCAACTCAGAGCATTCCTGGGCTGACAGGGTCTGACCGTCTTCAGGCGCTGACCCTTTGGTGGCCACACGTAGATTTAGGCAGGGGAGAGCTGGCTGGATGCTGCTGCTGCAGAATCCACAGGGGAGGTTTTTTTGTTGAAGCATGCTCTTTGCTGCAGCTTGATGTTCCCAAGCAGGTGGCTGTCTCTAAATATGGCACGCGCCTTGACGCCTCCCTGGATTAGCTCAGTGCTACATCCCTGATGGAACGGGGAACAGCCACAAAAATGAAAAGTCTGCATTAAGCAAATCTTACGCAAAAAAACGCTACTCCCCTCCCCACACAAGCTATATTGCCGTGCCTGCCAGCACAGAGCTTTCCCCGTGAAAGGAATGTCGGTCAACGCAACCGAGACACAGTCCCAAATGCCTCATGCGACCCAGTTCTAATAATAAGCTGCCAGGAAAGAGGGGACAGCTCACATTAGGGGTGAGTTCAAAATAAAGACCCTGAGAGCAGCTGTCCTGGGCCTCACCAAAGGTCCATCGAGCCCACTATCCTGCATCTGACTGTGGCTGTAAGTGGATGCCTACAGAAAATAAGAACACACAAGGATGAATTATACTGCTTTCTAACACTCTCCCAGCTTCCAGCTGGCTGCAGCTCATGAGCTTCCAGATCTGGATGGAGTTTCTAAGTATTTGAATGGATCTGATCTGAATGGATTTCTGTTCCATAAAGTTTTCCAGTTACCCCTTGAATGTTTACAGGCTTTTACCCTCTGCAGCATCCTGTGGCAAGGTGTTACACAGCTCACCTAAACCTCCTCCTCTTGTTTCAGACCTGGCTTCTGCTGATTTCATCTGATGCCTTCAGTTATTGTACTGGAAAATAAAATTAAGGGAAGTTTTCACTGGAATTTTACATGGCTTCCTTCAGGTGACACTGTGGTTTTGTGATTGCTTTAAGCTGATTTAAGTCTGCTATAGCTGGGACAGTCCCTTTCACTGTGCTCTCTGCTTACAGACACACACTTGCAGCCTCTGCTGAGCTGGCACTAGTCCTCATGACCCACTTGGTAAAGTGGCTGAAAAATAAAATAAAAAAAAAAAAATTGGTTTTCAGATCCTCTTCAGAGGAGGTCTAACTCTTCTTTCTGGCATAGTCCTTTCCCACAGGAGGAGCTTGTTCCTGAACCGTATGCACTCTGCTGTGGGCTTTGTCAGATGCATTCTTCAGCTAAACACCAAAAGAAAGTTGAAAAGGGATAAAGGAATTAAGAACAGATTGAGGAAAGACCCCATGATAAGGCAAGCCTAGGGCAGGAAGGCCCATGCACCTGTTTGTTTCAGAGGAGATGGAAGGTAATCGGCTCCTCATCAGGCTGACAGTTCCTGGGGGCTCCTGGGAGGGTACGCAGGCACTGCTGCATGAGCCTAGGTGCTCTGGCCAGCTCAGCAGGTCCCCAGCTTACCTTTAGGTGCTTAAATATCTTTTAAAAGGGGACTCTCCCTCAGTTAGGAGTTAACATTCAGTGCCTTTAAGTCTCCTGAGTTGCGTAGAACCTGTTGACAGATGTGCATTTTCTGAACAAAGTGCCACTGGTGAGGCAGTATTTTTCTTTTGTTTTGGTTCCTCAGTCTAACTTGCCAAACCAGTATTTGAAACACAAGTTTTCCTG